TGTTATGTGTGCAGATGGTGGCTGTCTGGCAAGGTTCTCAGCAACAGCAAGGTTGGCAGCAGCTGGATCCACAGCCATACCTTATGCAGCCGGGCACGCAGCAGCAGGTGGGGTGGTAGCAGGTTCTGCAGACATGCACGGGGCAGCAGCAAACCTGCTGGCAGCAGGGAGAGCAGCAGCAGGACCCGCCACAGCTGGACCCACAGCAGCAGGGCTGGCAGCAGCTGCTCACACAGCAAGGGCGGCAGCAAGGCTGGCAGCAGGGAGTGCTACAGCAGCAAGGCTGGCAGCAGCAGGACCCACAGCAGCTGGACCCACAGCAGGCGGGCCTCCAGCAGGTGGTTCTGCAGGTGGTCCTGTAGCAGCAAGGCAGGCAGCAAGAGGAGCAGCACATGGTGGCAGGTGTGGAGCGGGGGGTTGTGTTCAGAGGTGAGTTTCTCAGATTCTGATGGTGTCTTCTCTTTGGGGGCTTTTATACTCTGGACCCCCAATGTTGGGACCAATAAGCAGGATTTTCCTACTTATTATTGTTTCCTTGTTTATAGTCACATGGAAGTTGTCAAGGAAGTTGTTCCACTTGCATTTGAGGGTTCTGTCAATTACCGTTTGATCTTATTCTTAATTGGGAATACTAATTAAGAATTTTTTCCAGAAATGGGACAATCAGGAGTCTTCCCTAGCAATATTCCTGGTCATGTGACATCATCTGGTCTTATATTACTTCCTGCTGGTTTTTAAAAGGTCAGGATAGTGGCCTCTTTTCAGTGTTGTTCCTTTGGCAATATTTAGGTTGGGAGGTACCCCGAGTTTTCAGGAGTTGATGGGTTTTGTGATTCATGAAGCCCTCTTGAGTATAAGTCTGATCTCCCAGAAAAGTAGATTCAAGACTCCAGCCTGTATGTGTCTGAGGCCTCCTACTATTAATAGAAATGTGTTTTCCAGTTCTGCCAGAGATTCTTGGGTCCTTGGCCCACTGTTTTTCATATGCAAATCAGCACCCAAACAGGAGAATAGAGGCAGAAGCAGTCCACTGGTTTTCAGAGCATGAAGCTGTTCATGCTGCATTTTTGTTTTCTAGCTGAATCAGGTTCTCAGCTGACACCTCTCAAGTTGCAAATGCCTTCTTTCATAATTTCAGGTGAAAAGGGAGATAAAATGATGGCCAAGGGAAATTTGAGTATGTATATTTATACTTTTCAACAAATGTAGAAAGTTATCACATACATTTGGAATGTGTTTCTGCCCCATTTTCTCTCTTCTAGGTACATATGCCAGAGTGAATTGCCTTGTCATAGAAAAAGCACAGTCAACAGGATAGGAAGAGTAGGACCGTATTTCTACATTTCACTATCAACACTGTCTCCTGCTCTTTCTGATATTTTGAGCCCTCTGAGTACTACTTGTATGTATCTCAACTTATTTTTTATCAAGGTACTAGAGGCCCAGTGCGTGAAATTTGTACACTGGGGTGCGTGTCCCTCAACCCAGCCTATATCCTCTTCAGTCTGGGACACCTTAACTGCCCTCCCTCCCCTGGAGGCTTGATTGCCCCCAACTGCCCTCCCCTGCTGGCCTGGCCACCCCTAACTGCCCTCCCCTGATGGCCTGATCACCCACAACTACCCTCCCCTGTCAATCATTTTGTGGTAGCCATCTTTGACCACATGGGGGTAGCCATCTTGTGTGAGGGTATGAAGGTCAATTTGCATATTACCTCTTTATTATTGAAGGTATACTTGACAAATTTTATTACCTTTAGGTGTAGAACATTATGAATTGATATTTGCAAAATGATCAGTACAATCAGTCTAGTGAACGTTTTCCAGCATACATAGTTACTAATTTTCTTGTGATAAAAACATTTAAAATCTACTCTCTTCTCAAGGCAGTATAGTTCAGTGGTTGAATGTGGACACATGAACCAGGAGGTCACAGTTTGATTCCTGGTCAGAGCATATGCCCGGGTTGCAGGTTCAATCCCCAGTGGGTGGGGAGGTACAGGAGGCAGCCAATTGATGATTCTCTCTCATAGTGGATGTTTCTGTCTCTCTCTCCCTCTTTTTTCATTTCTGAAATAATAATAAAAAAACATATTAAAAAATCCACTCTTTTAGCAACTTTCAGATATGCGATACTGTATTTTTAAATGTCGTCATCACGCTGTACATTATATTCCCATGACTTATTTCTTTTATAACTGGAAGTTTATATCTTTTGACCCCCTTCACCCATCTTGCCCAACCTTCAATCCCCACCACTGGCTACCACCAATGTTGTTGGTTTCTTTCCCCTAGATTCTAGATATAAGAGAGGTCATATGTTATTTGACTGTATCTGATTCATCTTACTTAGCATAATGCCTTATAGGTCTATGTTGTGATAGATGAAAAGATGTACTTCTTTTTTTATGTCTGAATAATATTTGGGGGGTAGGGTGTGTGTGATGGATATGCAGGTTGTGTTCATATCTTGGGTATTATAAATAATGCTGTTATGAACATTGTTGATGCACATATCTTTTCATGTTAGTGGGGCTTTTTTTCAGATAAATATCCAGAAATGGCATTGCTGAGTCATTAGACAGCTCTATTTTTAATTTTTGAGGAACATCCATACTATTTTCCACAGTGGCTATGCCAATTTACCAAATTTAAATTTCCACCAACAGTGCACAAGAGATTTCTTTTTCCACATCCTCACCAACACTTGTGAGGTCTTGTCTTTTTGTTTATTATCCTTGTAAGAGTTATGAAGTGATATCTCATTGTGGTTTGGATTTGATATTAGTGATGTGGAGCACCTTTTTGTGTACCTCTTGGCCATCTGTATGTCTTCCTTCGCAATATATTTACTCAGATCCTCTGTCTATTTTTAAATTAATGTTTTATGGGTTTGGAAGTTTTGTCTTCATTTTGCTATGGAGTTTTATGAGTTCTCTATGTATTTTGTGTATTAATCCTTATTAGATGTATGATTTGAAATATTTTCTCTCAGTAGTTTGTCTTTTCATTTTGTTGATAGTTTTCTTTACTATGCAGATACTTTTTAGTTTGATGTAGTTCCACTTGTTTATTTTGCTGTCTTTACTTTTGATGTCATATCCAAAAAAAATAACACACACACACAAAAAAAACCCAAAACAAAACATTGGAATTCTGTGGTTTCCTATCTTACATTCTACTCTTTAATCCATTTTGAGTTAATTTATGTGTATGCTATAAGATAGTGATTCAGTAGCACTCTTTTGCAATGTTAGTACCTAGTTTTATTTCAACACCATTTATTGAAAAGACTATCCCTTTTCATTTTGTATTCTTGGCTCCTTTGTCATAAATATATTAATCATTACATGAGGGTTTATTTCTAGGCCTTGTATTTTGTTCCATTCATATGCGTCTATTTTTATGCTAGTACCATACTGTTTTGATTACTATAAATGTGCAATATAGTTTGAAATCAGGGAGCAAGATACCTCCAGCTTTTGTTTGTCAGGAATACTTTGGCTAGTCAGAGCTATTTGGGATTACATATACATTTTAATTTTTTTTTTATTTCTGTGAAAAACGCCATTGCAATTTTAATATGGATCGTACTGGATCCGAATATTGTTTTGAGTAGTTTGGACTTTTAACAATATTAATTCTTCCAATCCACGAGCATAGAATATATTTTCGATCGTCTGTGTGGTCTTCAGTTTCTTTCATATATAATATATCCTTAGTTTTCAGGGCAAAAGTCTTTCACATTCTTGATTATATTTATTACTAGTTATTCTATTCATTTTATGAAAATATAAATGAAATTATCTTAATTCCTCTTTCTGGTAATTTATTGCTAGTATATAAAGACACATTCTGATTCGTAACCTGTAACTTTCCGAATTTATTGATTAGTTCTAAGTTTTCTGAGTCATATTTAAATTTTAAAAAATATATGTAATATTACTTCAAATGCAAATAGAGTCAGTTTTACTTCCTCATGCCCAATTTGGGTGTTTTTCTTTAAAAAAAAACACCTATTTTTACTATAATTGCTCTGGCTGGAGCTTCCCGTAATATATTAAATAAAGTGGTGAGTGGCCAGAGGGATTGCATGATTGGCTGCACAGCGCCTGAGATGGGAAAGGCTCCTTGCACTCGCGAGAGCTGAGATGCTGTCCCTGCTGCCCTAGCACGTGGCTGCAGGTACCTGACATGGGAGGAATGTTGTGAACAGCGTCATCTGTACATGCAAGGGATTACTCCTGCCGCTGTTGAGATAGAAAAGTAATTGCACTCTTACTAAACCTCAGTACTCAGTGTCACTGCTACTTGTATTGACCTGTGAGCACAGGTACCCTTGAGCAGGAATAGATGGTCCCGTCCTGGATCTCAGTCTGTCCATTATTAGCTACAAGACATCACGCAATGAGGTTTGCTCATCTGAAACTGTGGGTGATAATTCATGGAGGTTCGTTTTGCAGCTCTAGCATGATGCTGCACATGGTATGCAATCGGTATATGACTTCCTATGTCAGGAATACTGTATGGTAAAAGAAAACACAATATGGGATTTAAGAGGTACCGATTTATTAAGGAATGTGTAAGATTCCCTGCATCCAGGGAGAGGTTACAAAGTGATTGTGAAAAGAAGAAATAGGATAGAAACTATGCATATATGATTATGAAGACATTGATCAATTGCAGAAACCTATTAAAAAGTTATGAAGATGAATTACTTAGAAGGAGCAAGAGAGTCTGACTTGAGAATCAAAGCAAGAACATGACTCCATATCGAGGATGCAGGAAGCTGGCAAATGATCCATGGCATGATCATGGGAGAGAGAGAACTGAGGGAAGTCCTCTACATTGCATCACACGCCTCTGAGTGGGCTGATGCATAACAGAAATAGTGGTGGTGGTATGCTGGCTGTCTTCGAAGTCGAGGAAGTGAAATTGTCCACATGGCAAGTCAGTTCACAGAGGGTGTTATTTCCAGTTGGTGGTTCTTGGGGAAGACAATCAGCAGCAGCAGGGACGGCAGCAGCTGGACACACAGCATGGGCGGCAGCAACTGGACACACAGCATGGACGGCAGCAACAGCTAGACCCGCAGCAGGGGCGGCAGCAGCTGGACACACAGCAGGGGCGGCAGCAGCAGCTAGACCCACAGCATGGGCGGCAGCAAGGCTGGCAGCAGCTGGACACACAGCAGGGGCGGCAGCAAGGCTGACAGCAGCTGGACACACAGCAGGAGCGGCAGCAGCAGCTAGACCCACAGTATGGGCGGCAGCAGCTGGACACACAGCAGGGGCGGCAGCAGCTGGACCCACAACAGCTGGATCCACAGCAGCTGGGCTGGCAGCAAGGGGAGCAGCACATGGTGTCGGGTGTGGAGGGTGAGTTTGTGTTCAGAGGTGAGTTTCTCAGATTCTGATGACCCCTTCCTCTCTGGAACTTTTATACCCGAGGCCCAAAATGTTGGCACCAATGGCCTGGGTTTTCCTTGTTCTTATTTACACTTTTAGTGTAGTCACTTGGGAAATTTTGAAGAGGAAGTTGTTCCCTAAGTGTAATTAATCTCTTCCAAATAAGCTCGTAATCTGTTTTTTAACTGAGAATAACTCATAGGAACCTTTTTATGGGTAAATAAGAAATGGCCACATTGTGAGCATGTGACCTGCTTCATAATCGGGTGGGTCCTCTGACCCATAGAGTCCTGCTGCCTGGGCAGGTCGCAGTGGTTGGTGGGTTTATGCCTAGTCTGCTTATTCCAGAGTGATTTAGGTGACTGACTGCACACTGTCTCTCTTTTTGTCATTAATGTAGTAATTAGATCAGGAAAGATGATACCTGAAGTATCTTTGAGTATGAACATGTTCAAAAGTTTTTATGGCTTAACATTCATCTTAAAAAGTGCTCAAATATACGGTTTCCAACTTGGTAAATTGTTATTCATTTTCAACGTGATAAAAGATCTCAAAGTGAAGATAGCCATGTCACTGTGGTTGAGAGATGGACTCTCACCCCCATCCCCTTCAAATTATAGCGCTCACTCATCCCCAAAGGTCATGAGTTAAGGCTGTTCTTAAACTTTATATGAATGAAATAATATAGAATTGGCCACCTTCTCTTTACGTGATGATTGTGAGACCCAGCTTCCTTATCTGAGCGTCCACGCTCCTGGGCCTCCTGCATCTCTTGCTCATCGGGATTCTTGTGACCAGACAGTCAGACGGCATTGCAGAGCAGCTCCTACTCTCATTAGACACCTTGTCCCTGATAGGCCTGCTGCAGCATCGCATTCCCTTCACTCTGATCTTTGGCATGTGTTTCCTCGTGGGATGCTTTCTGACAAAGGACAGCATTTCCCTGTTGACTGCATGAATTTTATGATGTGCATTTTCCCCCAAGGCCCTTGTCACTAAGCTTGAAAATGGAGCTTGATTTGTAAGATGAAGTTCAGAGTTGTTTCTCACAATATTCTAGATGTTGTCAGATTCTGGTTTAGTGGAATGAGTTATCCTTATCCTGTATAGTATATGGCCATATCATTCTCATTACTTGTGACTATGCTATTCTATAAGGTGCTTCTGGTTTGCCTTATGCATTTTCTAAACTAAATTGCCACCAAGATTGTGCATCTATTTACCTCTTGCTTATAGCTTTCTATTGTGAAAGTAGAATGCAACATATTTTGGTTAAGGGAATTAAACTCATATGGAAGAGTCCCCAATTCCTGTTCTGGCACTCACTAGCTGTATGTTTTGGGGCTAAAGATAGAATATACTTAAACCAACTCGTGAATTGTTTCTCAATATACTTTGTGATCTCTTACAAACATATCTTCATTTTTCAGCTACCATCTTACATATATGTCTGCCAGTGGATTAATCTAGAAGTGTTTTCTTTCTCTTTCCCCCCTATATTACTGGATCAGACTGTCTATAGTCAAATACCTTTTTAAGAGTCTACAATTCTTATATTTTCAAGGGATGTTATATTACAAATGTGTTCATCACCCTTATTATTTATAGAGAATTGTTTTTCTTCTCTTCCTCAATAATCTAAGAGTGTCTCTTTTGGTAATCTTTGAATCCCCGAGTTAATGCAAACTAACCTCCATTTACAAATTAAAACATTAAAATGAAGGTATTACTGAGAAATCATGGCACATCCATGGAGAGTTTAGTGCTCATCTCAATGACTAAAAAATATTTAATACATGGGTGGTCATTTTCAGCACAATTCCATGTGACTTCTTCAACCCTACTTGATTATAATGTATGAACAGGGACTACTTAAACTTCAATGATTGATGGCCCCAATGGCAGCTTTTATGACAGATGGAGAATTTTTACAGCAACAAATGGAAAACTTTTGGTCTGCAGAGTCAGTGGAAAGAGGAAATATTTTCAATGAAAAGAACTGTGATTAGTACAATGTGTGTGTGTGTGTGTGTGTGTGTGTGTGTGTGTGTGTGTGTGTGTGTTTATGTGTGTGTAATTTTGTATGGGGGATGGTCGATGGCCTCAGAAAACTATGTTTATTGGCTACTTTCAAAGGGTGAAAGGCCTGATTGATTTATCTCATCCCTGGAAGAAGCATGATAGGAAGATAAAGGCATTTGGAGAAGAATCGTGTCCATGGAGATGGTGTGTCAGCAGAAGGTGCTTCCTCTTTGTGTGTCTCATCAATGCTCCCCAGAGAGCATCCACCACTTAGGAAGCTCTGGACAAGTACAAGTTGGTATAATTCGTCCGTCCAGGTCCTCAGGCACACCGTACTTACCCAGAGGCATGAACAAAGTAGCCATAGTGGCAGGGATTGAGGCAGATGTGGACCCACCACACAGGTTCCCTCTCCCCACAGCTGCCTCTGCTGGATGTGCTATGGCCAGAAGTCGAGACAAGAGGTGAGTTGGTATTGATAACATCATTTATGAAAACTAACCACTCCAAATGGACCCAAGTGTTCCACCTCGGATCACTTCCACACAGAAAAGGCAATCCTTCCTTACTATGATTGCATGTTTGGCAAAACGAATTGTCTTCCCTGTCTGCAGTGCTATCCTCCAGCTTACAGTATTATTGTCATAGGATCCTGAATAGCATCACTTTGCACCAAGGGACCCACTCTGTGATGAACAAGGTCAACGATAGGCACATAACTGTGGATCTAATTGTCCTACCATACATTACGTGACAGAGAAATTGCTGGCCTGGCCTGGTAAAAAAAAAATTGGAGTGGTCTCTTAGATGTGCAACAAAGACACTACCATAGAGGTCACAACATACAGGATTGATATATTGTCTTCTGGATGTGGACTGTACCTTAACGCAATGGCTGTTATTATGTCATTAGCGTAGGACTGCATATGTCCTCCAATGGGAGTACACACGGGTTGGGCAGAAGTCAGAGTGAATCTCCTCATGTTAACCACCAGTGACACGTGGGAATCTGTGCTTCCATTCCCATCATGGCTGCAGGCCTTCCTGGACTGAAGCTTCTACTCCTGTGAGAGCACATTTTTGTCAGGGATGTAGTCTAGGTCAGAACGATCACCTGGTCAGTTTGGACTTTATGTGAGTAGAGTTGTAGGAAGAGAATGCAGTTCCTAGTTGAAGAGGGACACTTAGCATGAAAGGCAGAGAGCAGGGAGAAGTGCATCTGGAATGTGGGGACTTGCTGAGTGTGTGCATGCCCAGTGACAACATTACTGGAAGCTTCCTTGGGATATAAAACTCTCATGGATCTGAGTCAGTCCAGTTTTAGCTATGAGTCCTTAATTAATTAACGGAGTTTCTCTCCCCCCCCCACCAAAAAAAAAGAAAGCAGAGATACTTTTTGTGGGGGCTGTTCTGATGCTTGGAAGGGATAATGCATGTAGTACGCAGTATGTATTTAAATCTCTATGTTAGGAATTCATTGCAGTAAATAAAACACAATATGGATGAATTATGCTTTAGAATTTATTGAGAAACAAAGGTAAGACTCCTGCATTTAGGAATACAGTTCAAAGTGATCTTAAAAAAAGAAAGCCTGTTACAAGAAGCATGACTACAAGGATCAAAATCAGACGATTGTGAGGATTATTTATCAGTTGCAAAACCTTTTAAAAATTATGAGAATTTGTTTTTGTAAGTCACACAGAGGGAGAGGGTGAAGACCTTAAGTACAGAGTCAAAACAGAGACCAGAGCTCCATATCGAAGATGCAGGAAGCTAGCACATGGTCCACCAACCTGGGAGGGACGAGAGGATCAGGGACATCTGTGCACCCTATCATGCTGACTCAGAAGCTTGTATCAGGCAAGTGAGTCACAGAAAATTATGGTCAGGCATGCTGGTGCTAAGTCTAGGAAGTGAACAAGTCTCCAAAATGTCAAGTCAGTTAGCTGAAGATGTTGTGCTCAGATGGTTGTTTTCTGACAAGATGATTAGCAGCAGCAAGGCTGGCAGCAGCTGGACACACAGCAGGGACGGCAGCAAGGCTGGCAGCAGCTGGACACACAGCATGGGCGGCAGCAACAGCTAGACCCACAGCATGGGCGGCAGCAAGGCTGGCAGCAGCTGGACACACAGCATGGGCGGCAGCAAGGCTGGCAGCAGCTGGACACACAGCAGGGACGGCAACAACAGCTAGACCCACAGCAGGGGCGGCAGCAAGGCTGGCAGCAGCTGGACACACAGCATGGGCGGCAGCAGCAGCTAGACCCACAGCATGGGCGGCAGCAAGGCTGGCAGCAGCTGGACACACAGCATGGGCGGCAGCATGGCTGGCAGCAGCTGGACACACAGCAGGGACGGCAACAACAGCTAGACCCACAGCAGGGGCGGCAGCAAGGCTGGCAGCAGCTGGACACACAGCAGGGGCGGCAGCAGCAGCTGGGCCGGCAACAGCTGGATCCACAGCAGTTGGACTGGCAGCAAGGGGAGCAACACATGGTGTCAGGTGTAGAAGGTGAGTTTGTGTTCAGAGATGGGTTTCTCAGATTCTGAGGACTTCTTCCATTCTGGGGTTTTTATACACTGGGCTCCCAATGTTGGGACCAATCAATAAGACTTTCCTTGTTTTTGTTTATGTTGTTTTGGTAATCACAGGGAAATGGTCAAGGAGGAAGTTGCTGAGTGATATGAATCTTTAGAAAATTGGTGATTAATGTGTTCTTTAATTGAGAATAACTCACAGAAACTTTTATAGATAAAAGGAAGGTAGTTACATCATCAGTATACTACTGAAAGCAATCTATATATTCAGTGCAATTCCCATGAAATTTCCCATGTCAGAAATAGAAGAAAAAAAATCCTACAATTTATATGGGATGACAAGAGACCCAGGATAGCAAAAGCCATCTTGAGAAACAAGAGCAAATCTAGAAACATCATGCTGTCTGATTTCAAACTATATTACAAAGCTATAGTAATAATAATAAAATAAAAAAAGTATGGCATTCGGCATAAAAACAGACAAATAGATCAAAGGAACAAAACAGAGAGCCCAGAATTAAACCCAAATATATACGGTCAACTAATTTATGACAAAGGAGCCAAGAATACACTATGGGTAAATGTCAGTCTTCTCACTAAATAGTATTGGGAAAACAGTGAAGCTACATGCAGAAGAATAAAACTGGGCCACTATCTTACAGCATATGCAAAAATTAACTCAAAATGGCTCAAATACTTTAATGTCAGCTCTGAAACTATAAAATTCCTACCATGTTTCCCCGAAAATAAGACATCCTCCGAAAATAAGACCTAGCGCATCTTTGGGAGCAAAAGTTAATATAAGACACTGTCTTATTTTCGGGGAAACAGGGTAGAAGAAAACATAGGCAGTGAGCTCATTCTTATGGATTTTGGAAATAATTTTTTGGAGTTGACACCAACACAATGGCAAAAAACTAAAAAAGTGAAACTACAATAAACTAAAAAGCTTCTATATAGCAAAGCAAAGCATCAGCAAAATAAAAAGACACCTACTGAATGGGAGCAAATATTTGCCAATCGTATAGTTGATGCTGGGCTAACTTCCAAAATATATGAAGAAATTATATAAGCCAATAGCAAAATCAAATGGTCACATCTTAAATAATTATAGAACATCTCAAAACTCAAAAACTAACTGACACAGTACAATCCCCAGAACTGGCTCAGATTTTACCTGTATTACATGCACTTGTGAGTGAGTGAGTGAGGGAGTGAGTGTCTTTCTATGCAGTACAGTCATATGTACTGTATGGATTTGTGTAACCACCATCTCAATTAAGATATAGAACTGCCCTTCTCTGTAAGGCTCTATCTTTATAGCCATACCTACCCCTCCCACTCATCATCAGACACCCTTGCCTACCACTACTCCGTTCTCCATCTCTATAATTTTATTTCCAAGCATGTTCTACAAATGGAATCTTACAATGTGTAACCTATGGTGATTTTCACACTCAGAATCCTTCCCTTGAGATCATGCATGTTGTCCTTCCTATCAATAGCTTTTCTGTGGTGTATCACATTTTGTGTGTTCCATCATTCACTATGAAGGGCCCCTTCAATCGTTTCAAGTTCAAAAAGCTTTAGCTATCCTTGCACAGGAGACTAAATCTAAGTCTAAGATGAAAGCTACAGCCGGTCTTAGGTCTGAAAGAGTGTTACTCATCCAATACATGGCACCTGATTTGGGGAGCAATAAGTATACCTAAAGTTCTTTGGAGTATTTATTAACTAGCCATACACCCTAATGTTGTATTCACCCTCAGCACCTCTGCTCCAGGTGTAACCACATCAAAAATGTTACTGCTGGTATCAAGTAAAAAAAAAAAAAAAAAGATTGAGAACTATTGGTCTACAAATAACCCCTACACATCTCTCAGCAGAGACAAAAGTGGTTTACACAATGAAAAACACAAAAGGTTTTCCCACATGATAGTAACCTCAGTATAAGTTCACACTCATTGCCAACCACTTTCTGCCATGACACCCTGAATTGGACACTGAATGCTAGCTCTGATATATTAATGAAAATGAATATTATTGAGAATGGAAATGGTTTTCAAAAAAATAGAGTAAATCCTGCCAGTTGTGATAACATGGGTGGGCCTGGAAGATATTATACTAAGTGAAATAAATCGGTCACAGAAGAACAAATACCGCATGAATCCACTTATTTGAATTATTAAATACACAAAAGGAGCATAGAATAAAATTTTGGCTTGCAGAGGCTAGTGTAGTAGGAAATGGTTAGCTGTTGCTCAATGGGTATAAAATTAGTTATACAAGGCAAGTAGCATCTACAGGTCTACGTACAACGTTGTAGCTATAATTGACAGTATAGTATGGTACACTTAAAATCGTGTTAAGAAGGTAAATCTTAGGTTAATGTTCTTACCACACACACAAAAAATGAAGGAGAAAAATATTTAGTACCTTAATTATGGAAATGGTATTACGGTACATGCATAAGTCCAAATTCATCAAAATGTATACATTAGATTTATAATATTTTGTATATTACGTATTCCTCAATAAAGCTGAGGGAAAGAAAGAGACATTAAAATTTCATGACTTATTTTTTCCTCTAACACAAGTTACTTATTCCCATCTGAAAGTCTAGAAAGTGGGCCATGATTCACAGTGGGGAGAGGAAATACCCTAAGAGTCTTATTCTCAGGCCAGCACTGCCCCCATTCACATTCAACACTTCTCTGCCCACCTGACCCACAGGCATTGAAACATCACACTGAAATGCAGTGAACCTCCCAAGTCACCAAAAGGAATGTGGCTTATTATCACCCAAAGGGAGACATGTTGGGCTGTGCAACATGAGACACACATACATGGTCTATATGCATAAATCACATGACAACTTTCTTTAACCTGTCAACCGGGGAGTTCCCTTTTTAATTACACAACGTACAATGGGCACATACTCTTTCACTAGGACATGTCAGTACGTCACACCCAGTGGACGTAATTTTATATTATTATTATTTTTTATTTATACTTAATTAAAATAAATGAAATCTATATTTTTTCGTTTATTTATATATAAAGCACAAAGGAAAATGCAAAATTACAAAGAAATAAAAAAGAATACCAACAAAAAAATGGAAACATCGAATTAAAAAATTATAAATTTTACAAACAATTATAAAGATTACAGCCGAAGCTGGTTTGGCTCAGCGGTAGAGCATTGGCCTGCAGACTGAAAGGTCCTAGGTTCGATTCCAGCCAAGGGCATGTACATTGGTTGTGGGTGCATTCCAAGTAGGGGTGTGCAAGAGGCAGCTGGTAGATATTTCTCTCTCATCTATGTTTCTAGCTCTCTATCTCTCTCCCTTCCTCTCTGTAAGAAAATCAATAAAATATATTTTAAAAAGATTACAAAAATATATACTGTCCCTCTCAGGGCACAACATATATTTTAAGGATGTATTCATATGTCCTACCTGTTCCCGATAGTGTTTGTTTGATGTATTTACCGGTATAGGTCCCGCTTGGTTAACAGGTTAAGGAAGATGAAGCAAGAAAGGCACATAAGAGATGATTCAGGAAGAGCTGAAGTGAGGAATGCTAACCCACCAGGAAAAGGAAACGTTTTTCATCCATCTTGAAAAGGTGAGACAGGAAAACAAACCTGGCTAATTTCATAATCACCTGTTAATTAGGACAAACAAGGACAAGGAAGAGCACAGCTTCTGATGACAGCGCCCTTAGCAGGGTATAAAAGGGGACCTGGGGCAAGTGGACTTCCAAACCTTCCAACCCACCTTCCTGAAAACTCACTCCGAACCTCCACCCTCCGACACCATGGTCAACTCCTGTAGCTCCGTCTGCTCTGACCAGGGCTGTGGCCAAGGCTGCTGCCAGGAGACCTGCTGCCGCCCCAGCTGCTGCCAGACCACCTGCTGCCGCCCCACCTGCTGTGGCTCCAGCTGCTGTGGCTCCAGCTGCTGCAGGCCTACCTGCTGCACCACTAGCTGCTGCCGCCCCACCTGCTGTGGTTCTAGCTGCTGCCGCCCCACCTGCTGTGGCTCCTGCTGTGGCTCCAGCTGCTGTGGCTCCAGCTGCTGCAGGCCTACCTGCTGCATCACTAGCTGCTGCCGCCCCACCTGCTGCCGCCCCTGCTGTGTGTCCAGCTGTTGCCGTCCCAGCTGCTGTGGCTCCTGCTGTGGCTCCAGCTGCTGCCGTCCCTGCTGTGGCTCTTGCTGCTGCCGCCCCACCTGCTGCATCACTAGCTGCTGCCGCCCCACCTGCTGCCGCCCCTGCTGTGTGTCCAGCTGCTGCCGTCCCAGCTGCTGCCCGACCATCTGTTGCAAGACCACCTGCTGCCGCCCCACCTGCTGCCAGACCCCCTGCTGCCGCCCAGTCTGCTCCAGCGGTTCCTGCTGCTGACTGCCCTGACCTGTGCCCACTGGTTTCCGTCAGCCCGTCTTCTTGATGTAGTTTAACTGATCTGAGTCATGAGAGGCCAAGTGTCAAAACTCAGTTCCAACTGATTCTTAAGCTGACTTTGGCCTCCAAATGTACTGCCTCCTCCCCTCCTTCTTGCCCCCACTCCATCATGTTTCTGTCTGTCTCCCAAATGAACTCAAAGTTTGAATTTTCTCTGGAATCTTTCAACCAAATGTCATCTGAATGGATATATTTCTTCCTGGCCATCTTTTCTCATATGGAGATGCCCCTAAATCTTAAATAAATCTGAGTTTCCCGGCATACAAATACTAGAGTATTGTGTCTGATCCTGTTCCTCTTGACTTGCCATCCTTAGCTGTCAGGTGTCCTGTCCTTCTCTGCAGGGGACAGAGGGTGATTTCAGGATTCCCCTCCTCCATGCCGTCAGCACCCTTGTTTTAATAGAGGGAGATGGTTTTGTACAGCGAACACTTGGATCTGTCGGCCTGTGGACTTTCTCCGATGAAGGAGCCAGCTCTAGACAGGCCGGGGTCCAAGTGTGTGGGAGCAGTGCTGGGCCAGTGATGGGTGGGTACATACTCTAGCTCTTTCCTCTCAGGTGGGGGCAAGAAGAACCAGTCTCTAGAGGTCCTTAATGGAATGGCACCCAACTTCCCACAGGAGTAAGTTGCTCATTCTATCATCTCACACTGGCCTCCGTCCCTTCCCCAGATCACTTCCCAGGTTCCCTGCAGTGCCTTTTAGGATGATGTCCCAAATAAACTACTGGATCTCAAACCCCTGTTTGGGGGTCTGTTCCTGAGAGCAACCAATCTAAGGCACCAGTATTCCAAATGTAATGACTAGTGTCCTTTAACACCTTTTAAATATGTGTTATGAATGGTTGCCAACTGTTGGTGTCAACTCAGATCCAGTAACCAACAATGTCCAATAAGGGTTATTCCAGTGTCCCCTGAGGGAAAATCTGTGGATTCCTTTGGGAAAGGACTGGAATGAACATGCTACATACACTTGCTCTTGTCCTAGGTCTTGAAGGACTGGCCTCACTTTCTTTTTTTAAAATACATTTTATTGATTTTTGCAGAGAGGGAGAGAGAGGGATAGAGAGTTAGAAACATCGATGAGAGAAAAACATTGATCAGCTGCCTCGTGCACACCTCCAACTGGGGATGTGCCCTCAACCAAAGTACATGCCCTTGATTGGAATCTAACCTGGGACCTTTCAGTCCGTAGGCCAACACTTTATCCACTGAGCCAAACCGGTCAGGGCTGGCCTCACTTTCAATGACTCAGTGGATTGTAGATCTGAGAACTGGCTCAGCCTGGAAACCAGGTAAGGGGTCAAAATTTCCCACTGGGATCACTGACCTCTCAGTCTGTGGGTCACACAGCACTTCACCCCAGTTGTTGGCCCAAATGTGCTGCCCATCACATATTTATACCCATAATACTCTTACCGTTAAATGCTGCCAGCTGACCTCTGCTACTTTAAGGACATTCTCATTCTCATTGCTCCTTGGGAACTAATTTCTGTGACAATATTCCCTACCACAAGCTCCACCCTTAGAGAATAGACCACTCTACCTGTTCATTCCTTATTACCTTATTACAGAGGGCACCCTTGAGTCCTCCTAGGGAGATTATTCAGCTGGTTGGGTTTCTGGCCTTGTGACTAGTTCTATTCTAGCCTATAAACTTCTCTGCACCCTTTGATCCCTTCATCCTCATCTCTTTATAGTGTGGTAATAGATAAATATGTACTAGTTATCTATTGTTAGCTAATATTACCTCAAATTTTAGCAGCTGAAACTGAGTCTCATTTACTGACCCATAGTTTTCGTGCATCAGGTATTTCAGTATGGCTCAGCTCAGCTCTCTATTTCTTAATGAATCATAAGGCTGCAGTCAAGGTGTTAGCTGGCACCAGCATCTCATCTCAAGTCTTAGCTGGAGAAGAATCCACTTCCAAATTCTTGTTGTTGTAGTTGTTGTAGTTGTTGTAGTTGTTGACAGGATTCCAGTCCTTGAGGGTCGTTGGAGTGAGACCCTCACTTCCCTGCTGGTTGTCGAATGGAGACTGTCCTCAGTGCCTTGCCATGTATTTCTCTCCCACAGGGCTGCTCACTTCCTCAAAGCCTGTGAGGGCGAGAGAAAGTCGGCTAGCAAGATGAAAGTCAAGTCTTGTTTAACTTAATCGCTTGATGTTGCCAGAGGCAGTTGGTTAGAAGCATGTTACTCACAGGGAGGGAATTACATAAGACCATGAACATCAAGAGGTAGAAATCACTGGGCCACCTAAGGGCCTGCCTACCACAGCTCTTACATAATATTGAGTGAGAGAATAAGAACACACAATACATATATGAAGATCCCACTTATATAAAATTCAAATACAAGTAAAATTAAACTATAATGATTAGGATGCAGAACTAGGTGGTAAAACTGTAAAGACCATCAGTGAAAAGATTAAGAATCAGGACAGAAAGAATCAGGGGAAGGAAAGTGATGTGGTCAAGAGGAGATACATCCAGGGCCCTCTTGGTGACAGCAATGTCCTATTTTTTGACTTGGGTGTTGGGATAGACAGATTTTTGCTTCATAATTATTTATTACATTATTCATGCATATTTTATATACTTTTCAGTATACAGTAGTCCTCCCTTGAATCTGAGGTTTTGCTTTCTGTGGTTTTAGTTACCCACAGCCACCCATGGTCTGAAAATAGTAAATGGAAAATTCCAGAAATAAACAATTCATAAGTTTTAAGTCGCACGCCATTCTGAGTAGCATGGTGAAATCTCACACTGTCCTGCTCCATTCCACCTTGGTAGTGAATCCTCCCTTTGTCAAGTAAGTCATACTTATACCCTACTCACTGTAAGTCACTTAGTAGCTGTCTCAGGTATGAGGTCAGCTGCCTTGGCATCGCAGTGCTTGTGTTTAAGTAACTCTTGTTCACTTAACAATGGCCCCAAAGTGTAAAAGAGGGAAGATGGAGACCGGAAGAGACTGGGGCGGAGGGTGAGGCAATGTGCAGATGATGTTTCATTGAGTTGAACACTTCTAACCTGTATGGTTTTACACACCAATATCATCCCAGTAAATTCAATTTAAAAATAACTGAGGATGGAAAGTGTATTGAACCTAAAGAGGTGACCAGGAACTGTATTTTATATGACTAGATTGAGAACAAAGCAAGAACAGTGCTGACATCCTTTTTATCTGAAAAGTCTGAGTAATTCTCAATTAAGAAACATATTAAGAAACATATCTGCTACTCATTAAAACATTTAGAGGATAACTTCCTTTTTTACAATTCCTCGGTCACTATGGAAAACAATATGAACAACAACAAGGAAGGTTCTGCTCATTGGTCCACATTGGGTGGGGGAGCGTATAAAAGCCCCAGGATAGAAGGGGAGTCCTCAGCATCTGAGAAACTCACGTCTGAACAGGAACCCGCCCTCCACACCTGACACCATGTGCTGCTCCCCTTGCTGCCGCCCCTGCTGTGTGTCCAGCTGCTGCCAGCCTTGCTGCCGCCCCTGCTGTGGGTCTAGCTGCTGCTGCCAGCCTTGCTGCTGCCCAACCTGGTGTCAGTCCACTTGCTGTAGAACCATCTGCTGCCGGCCCAGCTGCTGCTGCCGCCCTTGCTGTGTGTCCAGCTGCTGCTAGCCTTCCTGCTGCTGATCACCTCACCAAAGAAACACCATGTTCACACAACACCTGTTCACTGACTCGCCATTTGGGAAACAAATTCACTTCCTAGGCTTGGCTGGCCACCCCCATGCTCTCCCTTGATTTCTGTGACTCATGTGCCTGATACAAGCTTCTGGATGAGAGCAGAGGACGTCCCCAATCAGCTTCCTCCCGTGTGAGTGCAACATGGGTCAGCTTCCTGCATCCTCGATACGAAGCTCTGGTCTCTGCTTTGAGTCTGTAGTCAAGGTCTTCACCCTCTCCCTCTGTGTGACTTAGAAAAACACATTTTGTAACAGTTACACAGGTTTTCTGCAACTGCTGAAAATCTTCTCAATCCTGTTTTCTTTTTCCTTGCACTCCTGGTTCCGGTAATCCTGCTTTCTTGTTTCATGCTCACTCTGAGTTGGCTCTCTACATACAGGTAGTTTTACCTCTATTTCTTAATAAATTCTGTGCATTCCATATTGCGTTTGGTTTTATTGTATAGCATCCTGATGGGAGGATTTACACACATGTTGCAATTCATATGCATGATCCATTCTGAGCTTCATATAGTCCCCTCAAAACAATTATCTCCATTCTTCATATGAGAACTTTTCACGGGGTCATGTTAGATAGCTGATTTGGACAGACTCAGACCCAAGACTGTATCTTTTGCTTCTGCTCAATGATACTTAAGTTTTAATCTCAGAACACATTAGAAAATGTTGTGGGACTGAACACCAGCAAGGTATTAATTTGGGCCAAATAACTCTTTGTTGTCTGGATGAAGGTGCCCTGTTGTGACCGTGGAGGAGTGTTTGGCAGCATCCTGGCTCCTACCCACAAGATGCCAGTAGCATCCTTTGGTCCATACAGAGCAAAGATGAGTGGGAGAAGTGCATAAATGTACAAAACAGCAGCAAAATCTGTAGTACAAAGGAGTCATCTAAATGTGTAGAATTGGATAATAATAAGTGTGACATCAAAACTCAAGGGATGCAACAAAAAAAACACCCAATGCTATGAGGATGATTCATGTTTAAGTATTTATATAAGAAGAGAAAACCTCAAAATTAATGAGTTAAATGCCCCGTCTTAAGAAGTTAAGAGAAAAGCAATAGCATTGCCCCCAAACTATAATACATAGAAGAAAATGAATACTTAAACAAAAAAAGAGTAGAAATTAGTAAAACAGAAATTTAAATATATATATATATATATATATATATATATATATATATATAGTGAATTCAATAAAATCAGATAGCCTTTTCAAAATTGAACAAAATAGATACAACTCTGGGAAGATTGATAAGCTAAAAATGATACCAAAATTCAATAATAATATGAAGGAAAAAAAAGTTGGGCCTTAGGCTATGAATAAAACAGAGTTTTATATTATTTTAATTATCTGTAGCTTTGTTACAAACTATCACTAAAAACAACTA